AGTGTCATTTCATTTCCAATCAAATAGAAGTTACAATATCATGAGTAGTTTAGCATATCTAAGTTATAGATCTAGATCATGTGACCTAACATGAAACCATTTGTTTTCTTTTAGAATTATTGTTTATTTTATTAATTATTGGTTTAGGCAATTATATAAGTTAAAATTGTACTTCTATAATTTAGTACACATTATCATACAAATCTATGTGGTTTGATTATTTGGATATTTTAAAACCAATTTTAAATGAATAAAAATCTGATATATATATATATAGACACGTACTTAAGTTTAAGTAGAACTTGTTAACTCTAGGTCTTGTTTATTCGAATACAATTTTATTTATCTTTTTTTATGAACTAAAACAATTATAGGGTACGAGAGAACATTTTTAATTATAATTTGTTTTAAAAAAATAAATAGTTAAAACAATATTAAATAAAACATTTTAAAATACATTATATATTTATATATATTTAACAAATTATGGATGACTGTAGATCATGTGACATTATACATATATTTTAATATACAAATATATACTACAAATACATTTACTTTGTGTTAAAGTAAGTATAGCTCAGCAGTAATGGGTATATGTCTCAAATCCAATTAAGAGATTGTGAGTTCGATCCCCACCTCACATGTTGTATTAAAAAAATATATTTATTTTGCTCTCATAAGCTTATTTATCCACTCATGATCATTTTATAAAAATAAAAAAACTCAGGGCTATTTTCTTAAAATACGGTTTTTTTAGTACAATTGGTGGGGTGGGAGATCGAACTCACGACCTCTTAGTTGGAGATATATGTCAGCTTAAAATATGGCTAATGGTCCCTTTTCCTTAAAAGTTTCAATTTCATCTATTTTATATTTCGTTTTCTCCTTTATGTAATATTTATCTCTCGTTCCTAAGGTATAAAACAAAAATAATTATTTATTCTTTATTAAAGTAGAAAAAATAGAATATAATGTGGTAAAATAATTATGCATATATATTAACTCATGTATTATACACCTACTTATACATGTGTAACAAATTAGAGAAAAATGGCTAAGAGATGCCAAACAAGAATAACAAATCATTAACAAACAATATAGAATATTAGCCAACTAATTAGAATGCTAATGAAACAATTAGAAATCTAACAAATCTCAATATTTTTCTGCGATGTAATCAAATAAATAACACAAATATGTATTTTCAAGTGTAGTATAAAATAAAATGTCAACATTATGTAGCTTGTGACATAGTTTCAAAAAATACATATTAATTTTATGTCATAATGTAATTTCCCTTTTTCTTCAATGATATGAGACATATTCTTTCAAGGCAAGTATTAAAATAAAAGGATGAATAATATTTGAGCCTCAGCTGGGTTTTGGGTTTATGGTTTTTTATTTTAGCACACAGTTTTCTCTTCCTCTGATGTGATTGAATTAAGTTATGATTGGGGAATGTGGAGAAGTTATATATATATATATTTATTGTATATAATATGTTCATATTTTCTCTAAGTGTGAAGGCAATTAATTTGGGTTGTATTATTTGTAAATGGCCAAAACTCTAACAGTAGAATCACATGCAATTTCATCTCACATTTTGACTCTTTCCCACACAACACAGTACTGTTTTTTAACTTATTATTTTCTCTCTCGTTCTTCACAAAATCTTGTGAATTTTTTTGTTGTGTGATGTCGCTATCCGACATCGGTTGTGAAAGAGTAGAATGAATTTTCAAACAAACGACAAGCTTAGTGATATCAAGAACCTAGATGATAACAATTTTACTGATCGTCAAAAAAAAAAAAGAACCTGATAGAGAAATATGAATCCACTCTCAAAGCATCATGAGTGAGTGAAGAAAAATATCATTGGATTATCGTTGAATGGGGCTAGATATGTCAATTACATTGGATACGATGAATTTTTTGAAATATGGACAACAAAAAAAGTAACGGATCACTTTTAGGGAATTGCTTTACCTACCTATTCAGACCGAAGAGAACAAGCCATTCGAAAAAATTTTGAGTATTGAAAATTCTTCGTAGTTATATTGAGCCATAAAATTGATTGAGTAGCCCAAATTTCCCTTCAAATAAGTAAAAAATAAGCTATTTTTTATTTTGTTTTAATTATTCCCTGTCTATACTATTAAAACTTTGTTTTGATAAAGGAATGGATTTTTCATGTATAGCTATTATATTTAACTATTAGTTTAGAATTTTGATATTTTGGTATTTGTTATAATTATTTATTGTCCTCCCCAATCCAAATCAAATAAAAAGAATCATTTCTTTGGGAAGAACAATTAATCATATTTTATTTATTAGATCTATATTTGTGTATGCATTAATCTAAGATTTGAATTGAAGCCAGATATCTGATATTTGTCCCCAACTCATCTTTTAGAACAATTAGAAAAAAAAAAAATCTCACTTTTTTTTTGGGTTTTATTCCCATTTCAAAGTGGGAGCTTTCCAAGTAAAATGGGAAGAATAGACCAAAAAAAAAAAAAAAATCACATATAATACAGACATGTTTTCAGAGCTAATCTATTCTCTCTCTTTCCCTAATTTTATTATTATTATTATTTTGTGGCTCTTTAATTTTTTTTATTCAAGAGGAATATGATGAAGATCTCACTTTATTATAATAATGTTTATAAAAATTACCTCTCAATTATTATATATAATCATTGAATTTAAGTCAGATTTAGATCTCTTGGAAATGATCTTTATTTTTTATTTTTTATTTACACATGAATAATATTCCAATTCATGTTTGAATAGGAGAGAGAGAGGAAGTATGTTTTAGATTTTTAATTTAATTTCTTTCCTATTTTTGTGGGAATAATAAAAACAAGATTATATTACGATTTTAGTCTATAAATTCTTCAAATGTCTTTTATCTCATTTTGGAAAATTTTTTAAAAAGCTGAAAATTTTGATTGTGACAAGAAAAAAGAAATGGAAAATCTTTGGTTTTATCTTGAAAAGCAAACTTTTTGCAATGTTTGCTTTCGAAAATGAACTGAACCGTGTTGGGCTGTTTGGCTTAATGCAGGAAAAAAAAATCAAATTAATATAATATTGAATAATTAATTAAATTGTGATGCATGCATGAGATACCACAATTAATAAAATAATAGCTTGAATTATTATTGTGTGAAATGACAAAAAAAATATATATATTTAATTTTTCCATTATTTATAACCCATCTTTTGTTCCTCAGAAGGTTACACTTTCTTTACTTTTTAGTTCATCTTCATTTCCTCCTCAAAGCCCTATTAATCAATTTTCTTATAACTTGTGAAAGGAGTCTAACTTATCTCCAACAAAAAAGTTGTGAGTTCGATCCTCACCCAGATATTGTACTACAAAATAAAATGTGGAATTCAAGATAGACACGTTTGTTTTGTAGGAAAATTTATAAAGATATTCGAGAATATTTGGATAGTCAAGTTTATTTTACAGGATTTTATTTGTGGGAAAGTTTTAAATTTATGTAATGTTCGAAAAATATCCATATAAATATTGATATAATTTATACATTAATTTAATATAATTTGTATTTATATTTAAAAATAAATTTAAATGTAGAAAAATTAAAATTAAAATGCATAAAAGTTAAATTCGAAAAATTAAAATGTAGAAAATAGAAATAAAAATAGATAATTTTAATACAGAAAATATTAATGTAAAAAAACATAATAGGTTAGGGGTAAATTTGGTCATTTGATGATTCCCAATAGGAAGAAATTTCAAAAACCCATTTTTTAAACGGCAATCAAAATGACTACAAATAAGAGATTCGAAGATATATACACCCAACTCACTAGTTAAAATATCACGTCTAAATTTATCATCAACCAACTTTAACCGTTATAATAGAAAGAGAAATAATTAAAAAAATTTAAAATAATAGAGAATAAATTGAGAAAAAAAAAGAAAGAAAGAAATTTAGAGAGGGGGTGGGGAAGGAGACATGATGTGTGATGAAAAGGACATAGGCACGAGAGGTCCAACCCCAAAGTGGAGTCCAGTCTGTTCCCAAAACCAAACCACAAATCCCATTCCCACTCTCATCATTCCCCTCTCCCCACCATCAATTATATTATAACATTCCCCCATAATTCCATCCATTTTAATATTGCATCATTTCTCTTCGGCGAGTAAGACATGATCCATTGGTTAACTAAGATTAATTGAGAGGGAATAAGTTCAAATCCCCTGATGGGCACCTACTTTACGAATTAGTAATTCCAACTTTGTGTTTTACGACACTAATTAGTCGAGGTGTGCGTAAGCTGATCTGGAAAAAACAGAACTTAGAGTTCTATATTAAATAATATACATCAAATAGCCATCAGAATAATGTTTATGATCTTTTTTTCTTCAAGTACACCAACAATGTTGGGTGAGTTGTTGAACTTTCAACTTTACAGAAAATAATAAGTCAATTTATCTATTAAGCTATATACTCGACTTGACAAGAGTAGTTAGGGTTTTTTTGATAAATTTCAAAACAATTTTATGTGAAATTTAGCCCAAAAGAAAACAATATCATCTACTCTTAGAAAAATATGGAGAAACTCAATCAATTGTTAAGATATTTAGTCATTTCTTATTTTTGAAGATTCAAAAATCGTGGCCTCCACATCATATATATATATAGCATATTCTTTGACATATTAAGAATGTTAGGCTATTTGTGAGGGCATGCAAGCTATTTGATGAAAATTGTTGTCCCATTGTTATCCCATTTACCTGGAGTCTGATTCTCTCGAAGCAATTAAATCGTTAAATGGGGAGAGGCAAGATCTCTGAAATCATATGGATTGTGGAAGAAGCTCGAAAAATCGGAGGGGACAACGGATTAATTTCAATGAATCACATCAGGAGGGAGGTAAATAGTATAGCGCACGTTGTTTTCCGGACTAATGTTCTTGAAGTTTTGTTTCATTTTTATGTTTTTTTTTAATACGACTCATTTAAAATGAGATGTTGTTTAACCTAATTTGAAGTGTCTCAGCAGTAATTGACATAGGAAAATATTTGCCTTCTCAACAATGAAGAGAAACCATTAAATTTTTTTGACAACTAAGAGAGAGAAACACAAAAACATAAACTTTTTTTAAATAATAATAATAAGTTCGTCAAATATTCAGCGGTTTTTCTTCATTGTTGAAGAGACAATTTATTGACATATATCTATAATCGAGAGGTTGTGAGTTCCTATCTCCTCTCCCAACATATATTAATAATAAAAAAATTTGAATATGACCTATAAAACTCATAAATTAGTTAAAAAAATATCTAGAGAGAGAAAGAGAGTTAAAAGAGGCAGAAGGATGAGGAATGTGTGTATATAAACCACACGCAGTCTCCACTCTTAAAACCCACTTCAGTTCCCCCACTCACTCTGTTTTAATTTGAGTCCAGCCATGAATAACAATAACCCCCACTCCCATTTTCTCCCACTCACCGTCGTCGTCGTCCTCCTCCTCCACTGCGCCGCCGCTGCCGCCGACGACAGCGCCACCCTGAAAGTGTTCCACGTGTCCAGCGTCTTGAAATCGAAGCCCCTGTCGTGGGCGGAGAATGTGGTCCAAATGCTGCGCAAGGACCAGGCCCGGCTCCAGTTCCTGTCGTCCCTGGTGGCGCGCCGATCGGTGGCGCCCATCGCCTCCGCCCGGCAGCTGATCCAGAGCCCCACCTACGTGGTCCGGGCCAAGATCGGCACCCCCGCCCAGACCCTCCTCATGGCCCTCGACACCAGCAACGACGCCGCCTGGATCCCCTGCTCCGGCTGCCTCGGCTGCCCCTCCGCCACCGTCTTCTCCTCCGACAAATCATCCTCCTTCAAACCTCTCCCCTGCAACTCCCCTCAGTGCAACCAGGTACACTACCCCTGTCTGCTTCTAAAAAATACCTTTTTTCTTTTTGTTTTCTTTTTTTTTTTTTAGATTTTTAGATTTTTTTAGTAGACAACAAAACTAAGATATAGCGACAAATGCAGAAGTTCACCCCATCCATAAATTTTAAGTTGACGAGTCGGATCATATTTTATTTTGAGAATGCAATTAAAGTTTTACATAGAAGAAAGAAAAGAACATCTCGGATTTATAAGGTAGGGACACCATCCCTGTTACAATTTTGATTGAAACTAAGATTAAAATTGTCATGATTATGTTTAAAATGGGTAATATCAATGGGTAATATCATAGAGATATTTGAAAGACAAGACATGTAGCCGTGGAAGTTCTAATACTTGAGGTTGGTCAGCAGATTTCAAGATAATTGGTATTTCGTCGGAGATTTGAAACTATACTGTAGAGAAATAGTCGATGTTTGATACTGTACAAGATAAATATTAAATACATATAACTTATTAGTGTTATAGCTGAAGTTCACGCGCCACCTGTTTTGGTGGAGCCGGGAGATATGCGGTCGGGATATTCAATGTTTGAATGTGTGATAATCTTACCTACATTCCCCTTTTGGTTGGTAATGTGTGGGGTTCCCCTCTTTATGCTTTTCTTTTTCTTTTTCTTTTCTAAAAAAAAATGTATTTTTTAAAATATTGAAAACGGTATTTAACTTTTTTTTTATTTGGTGAAGTCGATCTTTTTGGAGAATGATTTGTTCGAAATCTTTGTTTTCAAATTTAAATTTGGAAAGGGAAAGTCATTTGACGCGTGGCATATAAATGGGTCGTTTTCAAATTTATTATTAAAATTATTAACAAACAAATATAACTCAATTGTTGAGAGTAAAAAAGTAATCTTATTGTAGTTCAAAATAATTACTTTATCTCGGTCATTGATAATTTTTAAAACTTTTTACTTCAAATTTTCGAAATTACCATTCTTGGGCCAATAAAATATTTGGAACTTTGGATGCTTTCTACCTGATTGCCAATCTGTGATCCCACGTGTCAAGCAGTACTCTCATCCGAGGTCACACGTGTAACTCCGAACCTCGTCATACGAGCTCTTCTTTATTACATCACATCATGTAACAATCTATACTTTTATATTTATTTTATTTTATTACCTATTTAATAGCTTCCTAGTTCTGTACTAAAGAGAAAAAAAAATGTCTTTCAAGTTCTTTTTTTCTTGTATGACTGACTGTGAGTCACCGACGGAGCGCTGGGTCACGGGCGAAGAATTTTCCCCAATCCGTGTCGTATCCGTGGTCGCACGTTAACCTGCACGTGATCTTTTTTGTTCCTGTGTGCAGGTACCGAACCCCAGTTGC